TGTACAAACTTCACCTTTATGGTATCTCATCATTAACAACTAAATATCTGTATACTTGGTACACTTAAATACAGTAAAAAATATACTTTCATACAGCTAGTAGTGAATGTCTGAATGTGTAGTTATTTTTGGAGGGTTTATTTAAATTTGTTTTACCTATCTTGGCATGAATGAAGAACTGACAAAAACTCTAAACAGTTTATGTTTATTTCAATGCATACATACAACATTTATGAAACATCGGTAGATATTAAAACAAAAGCTTTCTGAAGTAGAAGTACTTTAAAAGTAGCCTATTAATTTTAGTTACGATTGTTTAATGAAGTTTCTCAGTGTATACATTCATATCATCTTTTTTCCTGATTGGCTTCCTTTAACCAAATGTATGCAGGGTTGGCCCAGTGGACCAACACCAAATTTGCCATGTGTATCTTCATGAAATATGGCAAGCTTTTAGTTAAATATACGAGTCTATTGTACACAAACAATCAGATATATTACAAACATATTTGTGATCAAGATATGCCTGTGAATTGTCAATGTCAGTCTAACTCAGGCTCTGACAAGTCAGAGTGTGTAATAATAAAAATACTTTTGTCCATCATACAGTTTGTATATTGCATTTACATAACATTTAGAACCTACAGAACGTACATATGTAGTATTTTCAGTATCCCCGTACATTGTATCTGGTACTTACTCTCCTCCACCGTGAGCTGTTCCTACATCAGCAATATAGGATAAAATGAAGAGTTGATAACTGTGACATGAAATACATAATACCGTGTTGAATGGCACTTTAGAACCTACAGAACGTACATATGTAGTATTTTCAGTATCCCCGTACATTGTATCTGGTACTTACTCTCCTCCACCGTGAGCTGTTCCTACATCAGCAATATAGGATAAAATGAAGAGTTGATAACTGTGACATGAAATACATAATACCGTGTTGAATGGCACTTTGTAAAAGATCTTGGCACACACGCTTTGATCCCACCCATGTACACAGAATTAATTTCAGCTTATTGTTCTTTATCAAGATGTTATTAAAAACATTCTTCTAATGCATATTAATTTCCTATGACATTCATCAATATGATGTTTTGTTACCTTATTGAAGAATGTAGGCTTTTGGATATCATTTTACTTTCTTGTTGGATATTTCCAAATACATATATAGACAAACACATACACATTAAAATTGTTTTTCAAAAATCGTCAAGTTGGATTTTATCAAGTAGATTAATTTCCTTTTCTGTTGTTGGGGCAAAGAAACTACACTAAGATTGGATGTTGATATTTTTTATTAATACAATAGAAATCTTTTCTTCTAGAAACTCTTTGAATATAAGTTTATGTAAATATAAAGAACAATGAAATTGTTTTAAAAATCTATACAGTTGTATTTCAATCATTTCTGAAAGCTATGATTTTTTTTAAAGCTCATATAATACTATTATTTAAAAAGATTTTTTTTGTACTTGATGTCAATGGCTTATTACAGCATTATACTGTTCATTATTATTTACAGCAGAAGCTTTTTAACACAATATTATTCTTTTATGGATGATATGTCTGAAGCTTTAAAGTTTAATAGTGCTCGTTATTGTTCATAATACTGTTTTTAATATTCTCATTATATCATTGAAGTTTGTTCTATACTTTATTGTTCACATCTTTGAACCTTTACAGTATAGGATTGATCTTTATTTTTCATACCCTGAAAGCCTGACCATGTAATCCTGTTTATATTTGTGAAGATGTATATTATAATGCCACTCTAACTGTTCATATCTCTGACACTTTACAATGTAATACTGCTTTTTTCATCACAACAGATTGATAATAATTTTATACAAATCTTTCTTTTACTTGGGCCCACACTATGGATCTCCAAAAAAGAAGAAACATGGTAACTTGGCTAAACACACTGTGCACTGCATGCCACTGTCAATGAGGCTTTTCATTCATTACATGTTGTAAGGTCTGCTAGCTACACACACTGTGCACTACATGCCACTGTCATTTAAAATATGAGGCTTTTCATTTATTACAAGTTGTAAGGTCTGCTGGCTACACACACTGTGCACTGCATGCCACTGTCAATGAGGCTTTTCATTCATTACAAGTTGTAATGTCTGCTAGCTACACATACTGTGCACTGCATGCCACTATCAATGAGGCTTTTCATTCATTACAAGTTGTAAGGTCTGCTAGGAATGCAACACACAAAGTGTTTGTTCATAATGCTACTTATAGCTGTCATTTACAATATATATCAGTTTTAGTAGTATAGATACAGTATAAAAAGATTTTTAGAATATTATTATCAGTTTTATTCTGATGTAATGTCACACATACTACCAGTAAATAGATCATATTTTGCCAGTATAAGGCATTATATGCCACAACAGTTGATATATTATATAAATCAGTGGTTCTCAACATGGGCCATATGGCCCCCAGGGGGCCACGCCATGTTTCTAAGGGGCCACATGTGAATGATGCCAAATTTGGGGGCCACAGTAAATTCTGAGTGGGCCACCTAAACTTCACTGCCCAAATAAAATATTTAAAATTTAATCAAAGGTTCCCCATATCCCCCACAGCTCAGAAGTCAAGTTACCAGACACAACTAGTACTCGAGTAACACACAATTTTTTTTTCTGGTATCTGTGAATGTTTTCGACTCATTCTCAAGAACAGCAGAATGATATAACAGCTCAAGCTAGATTCAAATGTGACAAACATTATTTCAGGATAAGTAATGAAATAGCTAATAAGTTTCAACAGCTCTGGGAGAAGGCAAAGTTGTATTTTTCGCTTTTCCCACATCTTATCTGGTTGAATCTGGTTTTAGTCAGGTGATTTATTTGCTATGAAAAATAAGTAACTGCCTTGATGTTGTGAAGAGAGGTGATTTTCATTTATCACTGATCACACTGCAACCGGACATTCAAAACTTTCAAGTGTTCATCAGGCCCAAGGATCACAGTGAATAAAATGTCAATGATTAACAGAATATTTTTACTTGTATAAGTAAACAGTATGTTATAAACAAAATATTTTAAAACAACACAATATTGTAAAAATAATATTATAAATCAACAGTGTGGAAATAAAGTAACTTTTTTCCTAAGAAACAGCATCTATGAACAGTGGAACCCCATAGATAAATCATACTCAAAAGGGAGCCATATATAACACTGATATAAATGACTGATGTAAGTAGCATTTCGACTGAGATTTTATATTGCATTCCCAGCACACCTGCTAAGATCTTGTATTGAGTAAAAGGCCTCATCAACAATGTAATGCAGTGCATGCACAAGGTGTGTGATTGAGATGCTATCATATTTCTTCTTACTGGAAACCCATAATATTGGGTCAATAAAGAGAGATTTGTAGAAAATTGTCAGTCTTATTGTAATGTGACTTGTGTCACATAAACTACTCATCGATAAATCACCCTTTTGCCTACATAAGCCGTTATATATCATGATAACTGATAATGCTGCTCTTCTTTTCTTCATATATCTGAAACCTACAGTAAAAAAAAACTGTTCACTATTGTCATATCTCAGAAGCCTTCCAGTGTAATACTGTTCATTGTTGTTCCACTCTAAAAAGGTACAGTCTGTTATTATTGTTGACTGTTAATAATTCTTCAAACTTGCAGTGAAGTGTTTTCCTTCTCATTTTTCTAATTGTTTAGGTTTAGCAAAAATAAAAATTACAACCATCAATTGAAGCATTTCACAGCCTTTATCCTGGTTAAGTCAGTTTATCAGCTCACTTGGTACATTTTCCATTTAGTTAAACACCAAAATTGATTACCATCTCTATGTATAAACACTTTCTAGTTTATATTCTGAGCATATATTAACAACTGTACTCTTACTTTTATTGTTTTCCTAAAAGAAATATTTATTTTCTCCAATGAATATAAAGAAACATAGTGTAATATATTTGTTTGCGGTCGTTTTCCTGAAATTTAAGTGTAGTGTGTGTATATATATATATATATATATATACACTTATCAGCATGAAAACTATTGTCATCAGCTTGTTTTCTTAACTGTCATTTGTTTGCTAGTGCTATAACTGTATAGCATGTGTATTAAAGGCTTTACCATCAAGCATGGGTGTTTAAATAGGATTATATTAAGTGTACCTGTGTATGGCTATATAGTATTATATGTAAAAGAAAAACAGTTCCATGTTTTTTCAGTGTAGTCACCCTTCATTTCTTATTGTGACATTTCTGTAGAAAAACAAAGAATATTACCATAATATTGACATTTTTCAAATAAATTGATAGTTTAATCAACATTAACTCTCTTTTTCTCTGAAACTTCTGTTGGAAGTCATGAATTGGAATGCACTAATCATCATCAGTTACAGTAAACTTGACCTAAAGTTAATTCAATCATTGGTTGAAAGGTTGTTCACCAAATTCACTTTAAGTAGTTGTGCTCAAAGTAAAGGAATAACTTTTACTTTTTACTGCGCAACCCATAACCCCATTTATATAAAATATTGATACATGTATTTAACTAGTACATAAGTAATCAAGTATAGTAACATATACATGTTCATAACAGTGATTCTGAGTTTAGATTAACAGATTTGTTAATATGTAGAATTAAACAGGAGAAACAACTGTAGTGTTTACATTTCTGAAACTGTTGGCTGTAAAGTGGAAATTAACTGTAAATTGCTAATTTGCATTTATCAGATTGGTTTTTAGAAAGATTTTTTTTGTTTTTTGTTAAGATAATTCATGTATTCTATGTATATATATATATATATAACAATAGGAACTCACTTTCCCCTCACTTTCATGGTATTTCTACTGTGCAGACAGTAGTTGAGTACACTGTGTCTTACACTTCATAGTTTCAAACTTCCCTTTACAATATTCTGTCCCTCTCACTTTGTCCTCTCCATCCTGACTCCCCCACATTAACAGAATTAAACTAGCACTCATTTTTCAGAGCCCTCCGAAGACATGGAGAGGGATAGAGTCGACAGAACACCAGCCTCTCCAGTGGCTTTCGAAAATTCCGCATTTGCGGGTGTTGATGTGATTGATGCAGAGGGAGAAGGATCCTGTCAAGTGCGAAGTCCATACGAGGTTTCTCCAGAGAAAATGGAGTGGACAGATGCTGAGAAGACTTTAGACTCCTCAAGTAAATCCGTTTATGAGCAACAGCTTACAGGTAGTAAATTATTTCAAACAGATTTTCCACAGGAAGGGCTTCCATCAGAATATATTGGTGTTACATCCCACATTGAAGCAGAACGTGGAATTTTCCCATACAAAAGAAAACGGTCTCTTTCACCTGATGTTTCTGTCAGCCATACAGACATGTTTCCTTCTGAAAAACTAACAGAAGAGGAAGAAACTTCACAATATCAACTGTTTGAAAGTTCCTTAATGAAAGATGCTCACAATATAGAAAATGAATTGTTTATTCAAGGTACAAATGAAATTAATTCTAAAGAAATTTTAGGTCATGTTGGGTTTTTTAAAGATTCATATCCCCAAGAGTTTTGTGCTGAAGGATTTGAAGTGATTTCTAGAGATTTGTATTGGAAAAGTGATAGACCTGAAAGTCCATTTGAAATTATAACAAAAGAAGAAATTGAAGATATCCAGTGTTTAATGATGAAGAAAGATACATCACAAAGCCTGCAAAAGATTTATTCTGATGTTGCAAAACAGGAAGAAATTCAAAGTGCTATGGAACCTTCAATACAATCAAAAGAAGTCTTTGATAATTCTTTGGAATCTACAGTTAGAAGAAAAGAAACAGAAGAATCAACAATGCAAAATAAGCAAGAAGAAATAATATTAGGTCAAAGCAGAGAAAGCATCACAACATTTTTAGATGAAAATCTGTTTAATTCAAAAGAAAACATAATTAATGTAATAACTGAAACAAAAGATGAACCAAAGGTTAATGAAACAGTAAAAGGTAAACAGCTTTGTGAGTCTTTAAAAGGGTTACCTGGCTTCCTTTATAATGTTGAAATTAGTGAAGGCACTAGCTTTCTAACAGAAAGTGGTCCAGTAGTTCTTCATGAAAAAACAACAGAACCATATGGTACATCTGAAAAAAGTTTTGGTTGGGATTATCACTCTACTTTTCAAAATAATCAGACTTTAACAGCTGAGTCAAATAAATCAGTACTTAATACTGAAGCAATAGACTTTGGACAAGATGATATAGCTATAGATTTAGCACAAGGAGCTTGGGAAAGCTTACCTAGGATATCTGCCTCCTCAAGAACAATTAGTTTACAGTTTGAACAAGACAGTGATGTCTCAGTAAATTTGTCTGACACACCACCTGTTTCTGGTAGTGAGGAAGTCTTGACTGTTTTAGACACATATTTCAGTGTTCCAACATCACAGACATCTTTTCCACGAAATGTGCGTGATTTTAGTCTAGATACATCTCGTTCCTCCATGTATCCTACCTTAGTTGAATATGAGGAAGAGGAAGAAGAGTCTTTCCAAGATGAACCTATGGAAGTTGAAAGTGATAAGGGAGTTGATGAGGCAGATGAACTGAGTGAGATAGACACAACAAGTAGGTATCCTTATAGGATGCAGTTTGATAGAGACTTTTTTTATGAATTTGAAACTGAACCTGATTTTAGGCCTTTATATACACATCAAGAAGAAGATGAAGATGCTTATGAAGATACATTCCAATATAGAACTGAAAAACCGTTAAGTCCTATTATGGCATCTGATGAAGAAAAACTGAGCACACCAGATTATGAATCAGTAGAAGCAAAGAAGTTTTTCAACAGAAGTGATGAACGAGATGATGAATCTCTTTCATCCTTACAGGAGTTTGAGAGATTGGAAGCTGAAATAATTAGGGGACGAAAGTCAAGTCAAAGTTCTTTAGATTCACTTAATAATAAACAGCAGCATAGTAAGAGTGGTGAAAATGATGATGTTTCTATGAATTCTCTAACAGAATTTGAACTTCTTGAAAGAGAATGTGCTGAAACTGAACGAATTGAAACTATGGCAAAAGAGGAAAGAGCAAGGTTATCAGAAATTGAAGAAGGGCATGAAAGTCAAATATCAGAAGGTAGCCAAGATACACTATCTGATGGAAGAGCTGATGGTAAAGATTCTAGTGGCTCAGAAGATTTTGAAGAAAGGCTTAATAAAGCAGATAGAATAACTACCCAGGTACAAGCAAATGTAGAACAATTTCATATTGATCCAACTAGCTCAAGATTTCCACAAGAAAGATCTGAATTAGGTAACACTGATGATCTGATTGACAGTGTTCCTTCAGTGGAACAAAATTTATCATATGAGGTAGTTACAACAAATACTGGTATTGGTCATGTTGAAGCAGTTCTTTATTCACACAGTGGTGAAATTACCAGTGACTTTTCAGATGATGGTGATTTCCAAGGAAGTGTTTCGGTAACACTTTCCTCATTGGAAAGAGTGCCAAACCTCAATGAGAATTATCCTTTACATATAGAACAAAAGTCAGCCAGTATTAATTTTGTTAGGGAAATCAGAAAGCCTGATGTAGATTATGCTCTCGAAGCAACAGATCAAACTCTCTCTCAAACAAGTGAACCAAACTTGTGTACTGACAATATTAGAGAAAAACATTCCTCTTTGCAAGAAACCAAAATAAAAGAGCTTATTGAATACATTGGTCAAACTGAATCCCAGAAGCTGAATCTGCAGGTTATTGCAGAAGAAGATCAGGAATGGGTAGAAAATAATATCAAAGATGTTTCTCCCTCTCAAAACGACACTAGTTCATCAGGGAAAGACTCGCATGATATCGAGAAAAGGGGAGAATGGTTTCTTTCTAGCTGTGAATCTGTAGATCCAAGCAGTTCAGCAGGAACCCTTGCTACTTATCAGTTTGACACAGATTCTGTGATGTCTTCAAGCCTCAACAGCATGCACACATCTGGAGAAGAATCAACTATGATATCCAGCACAGATACCCTAGGATTTGATTACCAAATGAGTTCTCCTTTTGGTGAGACACATCCTGGAACTGTGCCTGTGATTACAGAACAACCAGAACTAGATCAGGAAGGAAATATTTGTATTTCCTCAACTAATAATATTCTGTTTGAAGAAAACATTCCATCAAAAGCTCTTAAGGACAAGCAACATTTTATAACAGAGAAGACTAGGATTTCAAATGTAGATCATTTGCCTTGTAGTGTTGGTGTTATTAGATCTGACTTTGTTGAAGGATTTGAAAGTTTAGATGAAAATGATAGGAAAATATTAATAGAAAGGGTCAAACAAAATATTGTTTTAAACCAAAGACATAGTATTTCAACTGAATCTCAGGAGGCATTAGAAGAATTTTTCAGAAAACAGTTAGAAGGGGCCAAAGAGAATTTAAAAAGAACTGTTGATGAAAAAGGTAATCTAGTAGTGGATAAGTCATCTAAGCAGCCCTCTAAACTAGAAGAATCTCTTGAACAGTACGATGATTCTAGGGAATTACAACCGCATGAAAGAGGAACTGAAATGCTTGATGAAGATGGCAATATAATCTGGACAACAAGCAAAGTTGTAGTTCCACCTAAGGTGCAAACAGTAGCTTTGTCTAAGGGTGACAGAGGAAAAGCTTTTTTGCAACACCCACAAATGCTCACAACTAAAGACTCTGGTATTTCTGACAAAGATACTTCCTACAGCCATTACTCTCCAACCCCCACCCAGTCTTCAGAATTGTCCTTCACAAGCGAAACCTTGGGCTCATGCATGGATGTTGTTGATGCTGATCAATGCTCGCTTTCCCAAGCTGCTTCTGGAATGCAAACAGGTAGCTCCTAACCTAGACTTAACCACACTAACTACATTAAGTAAAGTTTGACTCCTTGACTCCTTTGAACTTCCATCAGTATGCAAAATAATATAAAAGGTTAAATAACATCACTTGTTTTCTCTTGTTAATATATTTAAATTTAAGAATTTATTAATAACAATAATATTTACATTATTTACATGTGTAACTATATGAAATATATGAGCTACAAACACTTTAGGTATTTATATACAACTAAAATATCACAGGATTTTCTGTATATGCATAAAACCATATTCTGTTCATCAAATATTTCACTCGCACAGTTTTACTTTGATGCAGGTTTATATGTATAGTCAAAATGAAAATAAGTTTTTTTTTGTGTAGTTGCCAACACTGTTATGACATGATATATAAAATACCTGCAATATTTTGTTCCATATTTATCTAAATATTGTATTTTAAAAAAGCATACTTTGACTCATGCTGATCGCTTTTAGTATAATAAATATCTAGAATGATTTCAAAGTATGTATTGAATGCAATATTCACAATGACATTACTTTTTATATTTCAAGTGATTCAATAGTCGCTATGAAATTAAGCCAAGTACTTTTATTCTGTTTGTAAGTATGAAGGACCTCTTTATTTGAAATTAGCATTTACAATTATTTGGATGATATGACTTTAAACAGTCCTTATTGCAATTGTTCTATGCAGCCTTTGTTGGGTCAAAATATACTTATTTTATTTCGCTTAAAACTCAGTGCCAGTGAGTACAAAGGGGTCAAACATATGTTTTTTTAACATTTGCATGAATTAAAAAAAATTATTTTAAAGAATGAGGATTGTAACCAAAAACTCAACCTTATGCAGATTTTGTTTGTACATAATTTACCCTACATGCATGTTAACAGTTCCTCATAATAGAAAACAACCAGTGTGTCTATGTGAAATTTTAATAAACAAGTTGCATGTATTTCCAGTACAGAAGGAAACTGTGCTTGTCTTGCAAACTAATATCACTACCACTGAATAATATGAAATTGTTTATCACTTAGTTATCTTGTCATCAAATGAATTAGACCTTAGTATTTTATACTTTTTATAAACTAAGCATTTTTTTGTATATGTTTAATCAATTAACTGTTTCTTTTTTAATTTACCTTTATCAGTGATTTTGAGTCCCAAGGTTTTGTTGCTGTTAAGTCCATCAAAATGATACTGTATAATTACCAAAAAGTAATAATTGGATAATTATGGAGTTCTGCTTCAATTGTGGCATACAGATAAAAGGCAAAACAAGTTTTTCCTTAGTATGTGTTATATTTTATTATGTGTCATTTAAATAATCTTATGAAATACTTTGAATATTCCAAAGAGAGATATAATGT